TGTCTAAAGTCTCTCTATGTACAAATCATAAGCACAGCAACAAAAGTTTTTAGACTAGCACATTCATTAGCAACACCTTAGCGCTAATATGCGCTATTTCGACGCTATAGCAAATTAATTTATCTAAAACGTGGTTTTAAAATCAGCCTTGTAGCAGGCTGCTCAATTGAAAGCTATTTTGAGCAGGGACACGCTAACCTCACTCCACATCACATATATCGCTTTGTCTGGATTGGCGCCATAAATGTCGCCACCGCGGCTCAAATATGTCAATTAAAATCGTGCGTGACTTCGCGTCAATGCTTTCTTCCCAGCCTTCACTATTGGTTCGCTTTCTCTGAAGAGATTTTGTCGACAAACGTTGAAAAGTCGTGGGTGAATTGTCAAATTAGAAGAATTATCTCAAACACAACTAGCCACGAGCGGATTTGTTTTGTTTTTCTCGATTCGCAACGACTACAGTAAAATATTCGCATATTTACTCTACCAGTGGCATTGCCACATTGTTACGAACAATATGCAAATGTGCTAACAATGCTTGTTGTGCATTTTATCAACAGATTTTTATTATGTCATCCAGAGCAAAACGTTTAGCATTTGAAATGTTTTGCAAATGGCATTGCATAAAAAATTCCGCCACTAAGAAAAATAAAAATCGCAACAAAAACAACATTGATTAACTAAAGAAGGTAGACCAGTTATTTGCGCATGCGCGCCAGCAAGTCCACCTGCTGCCTGCATATTTTGTGCAAAATTTGTTGCATTGCCAGAATCCACAAGCGCTGCGTCCCCACACACTACCACATATATTTGCTCAGCATCGAACGACAATGGTTCAGCTTGTTAACGATTAAGCAAGCATCTAAGCATTTCTGTGTCCACGCGTGCAGTTATTATTCGGTTCAGTATGTCAGTCGTTTTTCAGGTTGCCGATCAACTGCTGCCGCTAACTGACCAGTATTCATTCTACTTCGACTACGAAGCTCCACATCCACGACGCATATGCATTGAGCGCCGCTGAGACGCCGCTGGCTCTTAGTTCTTTTGGAAAAAACAAATGTGTTCCGTTCAGCATGCGAACATGCCCAAGTGCGCACGAAGAACCTCAGTTCGGAATCATACGTATACCGCTCGAAAAGTATTTTTTTGTATTTGCAAACCTTTTGAGTATTTTTATTGATTATATTCTACTTATACATCAATAAATATGTATATGTGAAATGCTTCAAATAGACAAGCGGCAAAATGTTGCGACTCAATAGATAATTTTACCGCCTTTTGTTGCAAATTGTCGACAGTTTTCAAATTAGTACAGTTCCTAAATGCGACTTAAAATAATTTCGATATGGTAATTTTATTTATTTAAGGAGAAGTTGTTTGTAATTTCACGATTTGATAGATTTTATATAAAAAATAGGAATGTTACTATAACGTAACATGAATTGCTTGAAATACGAACATATTTCCTATCGTACCCGGCTAGATAGTAGCAAAATAAATTTTAACGAGGGTTAGATTCAAATGTCTTCTCTGAATATTTAGGATATGTAGAAACACATTCGTTTTTGAGTCTAAGGTATAAACGACTAAACAGCTCCTTTTATACAATTCTTAAGTGCTTTCGAGTGTATTACATATTCCGCGATAAATAAAAGCATTATATCCATATCAAATGGATGTGGAATAGAAACTTTTGTTCCTCATATATCAAAGAACATTTTGTATTCAATTCCTTTATTTGCAAAACACAATGTTTGTAACGCCATATCTTTAATATTTGTGAACCAAAAGACGATTATGTGAAACATTTAAACTGCAAGTTCGCATCAAGTTTATACTTCCGCATAAAAAAATTAGTAAATGGTGTCTACTAATATACATATAATAATCTGTCCAGTGTTTGCTCTAGCTTATAAACAAATGAGTAGGAAGCTAAAGAAATTTGTATTGCGGTGATTGCTTTACAAAACTGTGGAAAAAGCGGAAATAAAATGTATGAAAAAATTTGGCCAAGTAATTCGAACCAATTCAGCCATAAAAACTTTTCATGAACACATTGGCATAAATCTCCTTAAAAACAAAAAATTATGTCAAGTTAAATGGATATATCGACCTGATCAATGTCAAGATTTATTTGGGATGATCTCGAAATGAAAGCCTAACGTCGGTCAACTGATCAATTTCCGACAACGCGCTTGAAGCAAATGAGGGTCAACAGATGCAAGCGGCATCTTCTGTGGCACACGGTCAACGTGCCATGAAAGTATCCTTTTTACAAATGAAAAAATTTTTATTTTTAATTAAGTTTTTAATAATAAACAAAATCTACGCAAAAACTTCCAAAGACGCAAAAAATGTTATTTCAATAGTTCAACGTGGTCAACATCCAGCTGTTGTAATGGTTTGGTTGGGAGTTTCCTGTAAAGACGTTACACTTCTTCACTTCTGTGAAAAAGGGATCTTCCAGCAAGATTCTGCTCCAGCACACAATGCAAAAACCACCCAGCAGTGCCTTAAAAGCGAAATTCCTGGTTTCATAGCTACAGATGATTGGCCGTCTGGAAATCCTGATTTGAATCCATTGGACTACAGTTGGAGAACATGGCCTCTCAAATACCCCACAAGAATTTGGAGAGTATAAAACATCGTTGGTTCGAACACCGTATTCAATACCGATTCAATATAGATAGATGCGTGGTGCTATTGATCAATGGCCGAATCGTTTGAAGGCTTATGTGAAAGCAAAAGGTTACCATTTCGAATACAATTTTATACATCGCTCGTTTAATATATGCAAACAAAATTAACTTTATTTAAAAATGTAGTATAGTTCAATTATTCTGACGACCTGAGCTTGTAACAGAACTACTTTATAGTGTGGCCGATTCTTTGCAATATCCCTCAATTAATACCATCACATAAAAGATCTCACATATAAATTTTTAGTTATTTTGAACTCGATCAGTAACAGTTACGACGTATAAGTCGGGCGTCAAAGTTCAGAATTATCCATAGAAATATATATAGCTATTTTTAACTATAACACTAGAGTACCGATTCTAAACATAAGCGATTTTTTTTAGTTTTAACTTTTTTCCTTTGAGTCTCTATAGAAGAATCTGAATATTGATTTACGTTAGGCTTTACGTAATCGCTTGGAAGTAAAATGTGTAACTGATATCTTAACCCCCTTTTATACCATGCATAGTATATTATATTTTACAAGTATATATTTTGTTTTTAGTGTTGTTGCAAACCATAGAATACCAGAGTGTAATAATTTCTTTAATTAGCATGTGTATACTAACCAAAGAAGTAATCCGTTCCATATCTTGAAGGTGTTCTGTTATAACTGTTGGCTTTTAAGCAGCGTGTTAGTTGCTTTTCAAGGCAACACTAAGCGGTGCAATACATATTTTAATACTCGTATGTGCTGTATTTAAATTATTGCATAAATTAAACACAAACTATAATCAAAAATTTAAGGCATAAAACAAAAAGAAACACATCCACAAGGTTTTATTGCACTACAAATCTTTATTTATAACAGATAAAAAAGTTTTTCTATGAAAACATACAACGAAAAATAAAATTAAAATAAATAAAAAAATGGTAAATAGAAATAAAAATAATAAATAAATAATTGGAAAAAAGCATTTAAAAATAATAAAAAACAAAATTTAATAAAAAAAAAAAATTTTTATAATTATAAAAAAGTAAAAATAAAAAAAAATAAAATTAAGTCAGAGAGGAAAATAGAAATTTTGTTATTTAAAAATGTGGACTTAAAAAATATATAAAAAATTAAATTAAATAATCTGAAAAAATAAACGGGTGCAAACACAAATGTTTAAGTTTTAAAATTTGTTTTGTAAAAATAATAAAAAAAGATTTTGGCCTTAAAACTAAATAAATACGAATTATTGACTTCAAAAATATATTTCAAAATGATGTTTATTAATTTAAAGTGATTTTCATAACAATTTTGAATCATTACATAAATAAACAACGAAAACTTAAAGAATTATACTTTATTATTAAAAACATAATAATAGTTATAGAAGAAAGTGTTATATTCTAGATGACTAATGTTTAGTAGTTATGTTTGATTGTGCGCTATTTTCTGAGTGACTGGTGAAATTTAATTTTTTTTGTTTGTGTAAGAAGTATATATATTAACGCTAACATTTCCGGTTCCATTTCCAATGTATTTTACTTGTTTCTCTATTTGCTGTTTGAAATTGTTGTTGATATTCTTCGCCCGCCGTGCTGTGCATTTTGCGTTTGTTATTGTTGCAGTGGTGTGATAATTGCGATTAGTCAGTGCACTATTAATTTATTTAACTTAATTAGCGATAAGATAGCGAGCATACAAGCAAAGCGACAAAAAGCATTGTGCATTTCTAGATAGCTCGAAATGTAGTAAAAGTGTGGGAGGTTGTACGTGTGTGTGTGTGTGTGTGTGTATGTGCTGTACTTTGGCGATGGCTTTTGAGACCCGTGTGTAATTTGTGGTTAGCCGCGTACGAACCCTGTTAGAAAACAACAACAATAATGATTGTGAAATATTGATTTATTAGAATGACTAAGGTGCGATAATTAATTAATAATACTTATAAATGTGCGCATACACTATAAGAATTGTAACTGTTCATTCCTCAAATACATTCAACGCGCTAAAAATATACTTATTCATAAATGTTGAACAAAAACATCATTAAATACTCATTAATTCGTTTATGGTATGTAAGGTATTTGTATTTAAAGTAATAAAGCTTTTGTTTTCTTTTCGCAATTCTTTTCTACTTAAATTGACTTTGAACTTGCAAGAAAACTATTATATTTTTGTGTTTGTGTTTGCTTTCTTAGTGGTTTTGGTCGAGGTGACGGAAAGTTTGGCAAAGAGTTGCTGGGAGGATATGAGGTGTTCGTGAGTTTAGGCATAACTATGTACATATGTATCTGACTATATTTGGTATCAATTGTATATTAGAGTTTACTTTGCTGTTGGGGTGGCACAAAGCCATAACCGGAAGCTCCAACTATCACGCCGCTGCTCTCATCGAATTGATTTGGTGGTGATGGTGGAAACAGCACGGGACCTGAATAAAGAATAGGAATAATTATAAATTCGTTAAAGTAGAATTAGTAAGAGCTTTTATAATTAGCTTAATTAAATATTTCACTTATGTATATTATAAAATCAAAAAACCCAGTAAATATTTATAAGCATTAAAATTTCGTTTAAAATGCGTTTGCTTTCAACAAATAATTTAAACAAAAAAAATCATATGCCGTAGAATGTTTTTTAATTCAAATTTAATCTAAACTAAATTGGAATTTATTATTGATTTTGATTTCAACTAAATTGGAATTTATTAATTTATTGTAGAGGATACTTCTGAAGTGTTACGCTTAATAAACAATGATAACTAATAGTTTCGTTGAACACTTGTTAATTTGATAAATCTTAACCTTATCATCCAAAATAACGTATTGGTTGCTTTTAAAATCAAACAACATAAATTGAAAAAGAAATTTCACTGTCTTCGTTAAATATATATACTTGTATGGTTACGCTTTTTCCCAATATTTGCCTTACCTCGGTTATTGCGTCCATCCCGGATTGCATTTGGAGACGACAGACCGCCTGAGTTGAAGTTAAAGTTTGTCGGTATAGGGAAGAACCGTTGACTGGCGACCAAAGCCAAACTCATGAAGATGGCAAATAAGGAAGCTAACTGTAAGATAAGGAAAAAATATGTCATACACACTAGATGATAGCAGCGTATTTAAATATCGTATTAATATTTGTGAAGTTTTAAAAAAAATCATAAACAAATAATATAATATAAAAACAATTAAAATAAATTTAGCAGCTGCTAAAGTGTTGTTAACAGAAAATGCCTATACCCAAATCTAAGCTATTAATCATTCGTTTACACACGAGCGCCAATTTTTAATTTTTATCTACCTGCCAACACGCTGAACCTAAATACTGGTTGTGCGATTTAGTGCTTACCGAAGCGATGCCAAGTTATTAAAACAAACAAATTGCAAATTTCGGATTTATTTTATGCTCAAATATTGACTTTTACATATGCGTAAATAATGTTTACGATTTTAATTTCGTTTTATAATTTCGGTGGGAAGTAAAAATTTAGTTTGCGTGCCAACCCTTTAATGGCAGGCAATTGTCTGAAACTTTTATAAAGTAATATTTTAGGGGAATCCCGTTGTATTAAAAATCAATCGTACACTTAAATATCCCCATCTATTTGATGTTTGAGTGGAATATGCTTATTTATGAGTATTCATCTATTATTATATTGTAGAAATATGTTACATATATATATATTTTTTTTTTAAGTAATGGTAATTTAAGAAGCATAAATAACTCCTCTCGAAACTTTTGTAAGTAAAAAATGCTTTAAATATTTAAATTTGTGAAACTATCAAACCGTAATCCCAGTTCGGAGTGACTGATTACATTATTATTATTATTCATTCTCAAGTGAACTTTCACGAACATAAAAAATAGTTTCTAACATTATTAATAAATATTGTAAACAACACTAGCTAAATATATGTAAATATATTTAATTACAAATACTTATTTTATTTTAATTTTTTTATGTTCTGATTATGAGTTTTTAATACAATCCAAGTTCAACTGCTTCAAGATAATTATTATTATCGACTTAGACATATCGCATGCAATAAAATCATGTAGAATTTTCATTTACACTTTTAATAAAAAGTAACACTGCTCCTACAACTTATTCCCACTTCATTTATTTTAGATATCTCGCAAATTAACCGATAGTTTCGGTATAGTCAGCCATAGCGGCTGCTCATTTTCTGGAGGCTGGAAAGGTATACTCTGATTTCGACGTTTTTAACTAAGAGTTGTGAAATATTAGAGTCAGAGTAGAGTAGAGTACCTGTGCAATATTTCAATTGATTTGACCCATTTTTAAATTGATTTTATAACCTCTTCCGTTTATTTTTAGTAATTCGTTAACATTTAAAGAATGCAGTTGTGTTTATCTGCTCTTTTTATAATCAATTGAATTAAGGTCTTAGATCAGTGGGTGTTTTCGCACGACTTCTACAGTTGTCATAAATATGCAGTAAAATAATCGACAAAACATAGGCGGGACTTGCTCAAGCCTCCGAATATGTCGACTATGCAATTATTTAATATTGTCCACATGCTTGGAAGTATTTATTTATGCGTAAAAGTATATATACATATATATGCAGATATTTACAAGAGCGTGCATTTATTTCTTTAATATTTTTTATTCTTTAGTCTTCGCTCTATGTGGCACTGTACTTGTGAAGTGGTTTCTAATTCAAAAATTAAAGTATTTACTGACACTGAACATTTCGTTGTTATACATTTGTGCCGTGAATTTGATTGTTATTCATAACTTTGTATGCCCTGAACAGGGTATATTAAGTTTGCTACAAAGTTTTTAGCAGTTTTAGAAGAAAACTTCGCAGACCCTATAAAGTATATATTTATATATAATATATACATATATGGTCAGCGTGACGATCTGAGTTGATTTAATCATACTTTATATATCCCAATCGATCAAAAATTTTTCACATTTTCTTTTCAATCATAGCAGATTCGTCGGAATTGCCATTCAAACTGGCCGACCGAAATCAAGTTTTTGTATAAAAACCTTTTTTATTTGACAAGATATCTTCACGAAATTCGGCATAGATTATTTTTCAAGGCATCGCTACAATCTCCGAACATATTGTTCAGATCGGACCACTATAGTATACAGCTCTCATATAAATTGACCTATCAAAATCAAGCTAAAGATATTTTCATATGTTATAAGAAATGAATCTCTGTAGGGTAGTATACAAGTAGGTTCCGTGCAGCCGAAGTTAACGTTTTTTTCTTGTTTTATATATATTAAAATAATTCAGTTATGTGAACATTTGATTGCAAATAGACTTGTTAACATGTATGCCAATGACAAAATTAAAAGAGCAGAACTAGTTGTTTCCTTTTTTTGTAACAATGAGTAGAACAACAATAATAACAAAATTAACGGACAGCAAACACGAGACATGGCGAATATACGTCAATCCAAATCCGAATAAATAAACAAACACCTTGCAGGCGTACTATTAGCATGTAATAAATTGGAAAATAAAATCAATTACTGTATAATTTTTATAAATGGGCGACTGAAACAGAACATGGTGAGCAAAGCGCTTTCGGCCAATAACAATAAAATTTTTGTCGACATGTCCCGAAGTTTCAATGCTAACCAAAACAATAAAAACATCGAGCTCATTGAGTGTGTACAGTTATATAGAAGAAGCACATACAATTAAATGTTCATGAACTTCTGCAGTCAGTTGTTGTTGGCTGACAGCCACATTTATGGTAATTGTTTTATCAAGTAGAATTTAAAGTTCGCGTGCCAGAAATACAATAATATTCATACGCCTGGGTGCCCACATAATTGCCACCGACACAACGCGTAATCAAACAAGAGTTTCTTAATGGTTTTTATACATAATTTATTTGCTTTCGCAATAAACGAAACGCAACAACAACGACGGCGTGGAGAAAACCAAACTGTCAACAGTCGGAATGTATCAGAGCTCGATGATGGCCTTGGCAAAAATTCAAACACACAAAACTAGTTGGTGTTATATCGCTGGTGGTATATACATATATATATGTGTTTAAATACCAGAAGTAGTTCAAGTATGCCGGTGTATGAGCTCATGTACTGCATTGAAACACCAACTAAGGTGTACGTGCACGTAACTTGCCCAATGCGTTGTGGGCGTGTGAAGTGTGCAGCGACAATATTCAGTTCAATTCGATGTAAGTATAGGTGCAACTATTTCATGGCATAAAGTAGTAGGCTTTTTCACTTCTAAAATTAAAATTTTCGATAATATGTTTTATGTAAACTATCTAAATTATAAAATAAAAAACAGGAATAAACGTTCACTTCGATTACACCTAAGCTATAACTTCACCTAAATAAATACTATACAACATCGGTATGGCTCTTAATGTTTGATGGAAAGACTTATCGCCATTATAATAACCAAATATTAAGAAACTTGAGTAATTTTCCACTCTATCAAGATCATGGGTGCTTAATTAACTTAATTATTATATGGGTAATCTAATCTAATTCCATCTTCTATTGGCTTACTCGTTTCACTTACTTAATAACGAACGAGTTTGCGAAATGCTTACTTCTGAATGTTTATACTTTTTACATCGCTAATTATTTATGCTTTTGTACACCTTTTATTTAACATGAATATCGCAAGCCGACAGCGTGCTTGCAAACTATTTTACTTTAAAAGCCACATTCACTTAGTGAATTTGCATATCGCAAGAAATTTTAATGCTTGTGAAAACCATTCAATATTTCAATTATCACGCCTGGGCATCTGAGCGTGTTGCCAAACAATTTTTCTATAGTTAAACGGTACAATTTGCGTAATATACAAAGTAATTAAGTTAATTCACTGCTTAAAGTAATGCACGTATGCATCTGTGAGTGTGTATATACACGTTTCGGCAATTTTTGGAATTTCATTTCGAAAGGGTGCAAATACTATTTCTTGAAGCATTTTAAATTTATTAATCAGAAATTTTTGTAAAAAAATAATAAACACATTATAGAAAATTATGTTAATTTGCGTAAGACCTCTACCACAATGATTCAGATGTACTTTGCTAGTTGAAAGCGACTACAGTCGTAAAGTGTAATTTTTTCGTTCACCGTTTGTCCGCCTAATGCACTTATTCCAATTTAAGCAGCCGTGAAGATAACTTAAACAACCGCTAACGCTTTTTATATTATATGTTGTAAGGCATGGATGCTTATTATATCAATTTAATTTTAACAGCGCTGTTGCGAGTATACACTGTAGTGGAATATCTTCCATGATGTGATTTTTACCCTGAACATGGTATATTAAGTTTGCTACGAAGTTTGTAACACCCAGAAGAAAACGTCGAAGATCCCATAAAATATATACATATATGATCAACATGATGAGCTGAGTTGATTTAGCCATGTCCGTCTCTATATATCTCACTCACTAAGAAGCTGCTCGTTTGTTGGAACGGGCTATATCGGACCTCTATAACATATAGTTGTCATACATACTGAACAATCGGAATCAAGTGCTTGTATGCGAAACTTTTTCATTTCACGATATCTCTCACGAAATTAGGCATGGATTATTATTTAAAGCAACAATGTAATCTCCAAAGAAAGTGCTCAGATCAGATTACTAAATCATATAGCTGCCATACAAACTGAACGATCGGAAGTTCTTGTAAGGAATCTTTTGTATTTGTGAAGGGCATTACAGCTTCGGTGCAACCGAAGTTAATCTGGTTTCTTATTTCAATCCAATTATCCGTTCATTAATCAAACTACCAATAATAAAAGTACTTGTACACCAACGACAAACCAAGTCCTACGAGAAATAAAATAATACAAAAATCAGTTCATATCTGTTTGAAAAAACATCTTTTAGAAAAATTTTGTATTGTTTTACTTTTGCAACGTTGCCTTGTGATTTACATTGCTCATTTCAAACAGTAGCTGTCAGAGTAGCAGCAAAGAAATATAATATCTCTTTCTTTCCCATCAAACACGATTCGTTTGAGTCATTGCTGTTGTTGTTGCTGTAGCCAAACAGATGCACAAAAGTATTTGTTTAT